CAGCCTGATCTGTCAAATCCTTTTACACATTTTCAACAGCCAAAATAGCTCTATTTTCTTTTGGAAATCTAACATTAAAAATATAAATTATAAAAGGTGTAATTTTCTTTACTTTACAAAAAAGAATTTGCCCCCTAAGGAAATAATTCTGATGTTACGTCTTAAGGGAATTAAAATCTAAATGATCTCCTAAACTCCAGGAGGTTGCTAATTCAGCAGAGAATCTGCCTATACCTAGTAACCTGAAGGTGAGCTTCTTTTTACAGTCACTGAATCACAGAACCCTAAATTTAGCAAAGGGTATGGCCACCTTCACTTGCTACTTTGGAAGTGAGATGTCTTATACTTTGATTTTCTAGGCAAATCAGAGCCCACAGCCTTCACTCAGCTAAAGCACACACCTAGCTTTTGTTAATCAATCCATTAGTTCCTCTTTCTATTCTAAATTCATTTCTTGGCTGGGGATTTGGCTCAGTGGTTCTGCTGCCTGCCTCACAAGCACAAGGACCTGAGTTCCATCCCCGGTACCCAAAAAAAAAAAAGAATTCCCTTTAAATTCATTTCTTTTTATTCCTATCAGTATGACACCTGATTTCCACCTTTAAATTTCGGCCAGTTAGATTCAGACAAGACTGGCTCTGCAAAGGTCATTTCCATGACAATGTCATGGGGTCTCTGAACCCTGTGTACCCCGTCTTTGGTTAGGGAATCATAAATGTTAGATTTTGTGCTTCCACCTGCAATTACTTTATAGTTAAATGGAGATGCTGTTGTACTTACAAAATACGGCATTTTCAAACATTACTCATTTTACAGTAGTTTTTGTCTTTATTATTTTCATCTCGGTGCCAAAATATGGTTCTCAAAATAAGTATTCACGATCTTTTTTTTTTCTTAAGACAAAGTTCATTTGAAAACCAAACTCTAGCAAATGAAAGGACAAGTTGTCTACGTGAAATGCATATCATCGTTTCTCTTATCAACCACTATCCAAAAGCAAAACACTTTCAGCCAAAATGAAGCTCAAAGGATAGAAAGATTAGAAATATAAAGTGACTTTTGGTGTAATAGGCAGGCCTAAAGATGATACTGCTAATGAGCATCATTAAGAGGATATATTGGGATGGATTTTCTAATGGAGTGTTGCAGATTTAATTCTGGCTAGCTCGAGTAATTTCCTCTTCTCTTTATGTGAACGAACTGCTTATTGACGCCTCGCTGTCATTGAGATAAGATGTCTTTTACCTGGATCATTGCAACAGGGCGCCAAGTAGTCTCTTTCTTTCCATTTGTGTAAGCTTGTGCCCATCCTCACCATCTGCCTTCTCAACTATCCTGGCTGTGAATTTTCACAGGCTTTGTAGTGAGCCCATAAAACCCTAAATCAGATCATGGCCCTCTTGGCTCTGAGTCCTCCAAAGTCTTTCCATTTTATTCTGAGAGGAGATCATCTTTACGGTGGTCTTGGGGGCCTCTATGAAAGGAATGTCATGCTTTCTGACCTCATTGCTGTTTCTGTTCTTCAACAACATTGACCTGAGTGCTAGGTACACCAAACATATTTTGCCTCAGAGATTTCGAATTTGTAATTTTTTCTGAGTGGTATGTTCTTGGTTTTCTTATGGTTTCCTAACTCATCTTCTTCAAGTCTTTACTCACACGTTACTTGTTCATTTAGGTCTTCCCATTTGTCTACTGGAAATATCAATATCCACTTCTGCACTCCCTGTTTGCTTCCCCTGACCTCTATTTCATTCTCTCCTTCTTTATCATGCTTATCAATTTTTCCCTACAATACTGTCACCCTCTTCTTTCTAGAATGTATATTCTGTGAGGTCATGGGATTTTGTCTCTTCTTTCTTTTCATGTCTGTTATATTCCTTATGCTTACTGTAGCATCTCTATTTATTAGTCAGTAAATAATGTGTGAGGGAGATAAATGAATGGAGAACTTTTTTAAAGACAAGATTTGTTCATTATCCGTCTCCACTTTCTTCCAGTCCAGGAGTGTCAGAATATAATCCTGAAAATTCTGGCTGTGATTATCTCCAGAGTGCCTCTATCAGGGGATGTGCTATAGAGACAGCATCTTTCTAGACCTAAGGTGAATCTAAAACAGGGTGAGATGTCAAGGCTTCCTGTGACAAACTGAATAGAGTATCCAACTATAACTTTACTGGCAACTGGAGCTCAGAAGGTTTTAGAATCTCCTTTTCCAGACCTGTTAAAGTCTTTGTCCTGCAAGGGCTCAGCCTGCCCTGTCTAACCCTCAGTCCCATTCCCAAGACCATAATATCAGATGGAAGGAAGGCTGGGCAGAGGAATGGAAATCTAGTATACTACAGGCTCTACTCCTTTATCTTGTTTAAAGAGCACAGACACAGCAATGACAGCTACCTCAAGTGTGTTGCATCTGAGAAAATTATTCATCAAAATATAATACTGTTACAGGGTAAGGTCCAAGGAAGTTCCCCAAAGGGGAGATAGGGACCTCAACTCCCTGCTTGTCCCTGTGGAATTAGGGTAGGCCCTCAGCCCAGGAAAGCATTTCAGGATGCATCAGTGTACAGCATAGGCAGATTTATTGGAGTTACAAAGTAAGAGAAAAGAGGAAAGAGGCTTTGATTTGAGAGGATGAAGGGGACACACTTTGAGGAAGAGGTTCTGATTGGGCCAGTCACAAATGAAGGAAACTAGCCTCTATGGACTGAGTAGCTGAGATGAGCCAGTTTCCAGGAGATAATCTTCTCAGTTCTGCTTTTGCAAGGTAACTCCAGGAGAACTCATCACTTAAGCAGGCAATTTGTTTTTTTGTGAGCTCATTGTTTCTGTTTTGGGCACTTTCCGTCTAGGTTTAAGGCAATGACAGGAGACTTCTGGGCATCAGTGACACTTAACTTGGTGTCTTCTGTCTTGAAGAGGGATGAAGAAGGTTATTAACATTAAGGACTAGTCAATCTTTTTTTTTTTTTTTTTTCCAACCTTT